CCTTACTGCCTGAGTGTCATATGTGTATAACAGGGTTAATAAACCTGCTCTGTCCTACAGTGCTGACGTAATATTAAGCTCTTTCATGTTTGCTAAGTGCTACAATGGGCAGCACCATAGAAACCCATAAAAGTGTACCTTGAAGTTCTGTTGAGGTATTAGCCTTGTTTTAACAGTGCAGATATTACATGAGTTACCACACGCAAGAAGCTTCTCTTAATTAGGATCAAAACGTTCTTTTTTTTAGCTTTGTTTTAGTGGCTTTTGAGGATAAGCACATTTCACTTGTCCAGCCTATTTGGCAATTTATTGTAACCTCTTCAAACTTGCAGCTTCTTTCAGTACACTGGTAAATGCCTTCCTTCTCATCACTGCATTCCCTTACATTTCTCAAATTTAAATATCTTCAGTTTTTTTCCCAATGTATAATTGGTTTCTCTAAAGTCTAAATTCAGCTATGATATTGTCCTTTGTTGTCATTGTGGTGGATACTGGATGTAGTTCAAAACTTTGAGAAGAATCTGTGTGCTGCTTCTGATATAACAGAAGCCCTTTTCCCCATTTCATACCTTGACTCAAGATTTGTCCACAACTGGTAATGTGCCAAAGTAGGTGTTCTGCAAGGAAAACATCTGCACAGAGATACACAGAGAAAATTATTCTGCCCTGATGATCTCCAGACAACCATTGTAGTAAATGTCTGGTTGTGTCCCTGAGCTGGGTACATGGACTGAGCCCAAGTGGCTGGAAGGCAATGCCATGGAGCCATGTGGGCTCTGACATGGGAATCTGGAGGGATGGGTTCAGTCTCTGTCCTGTCACAAAGACTTCTGGGCAGATATGAGTCAGGTTCACTGTGTCACGTGGAATATGGGTTACAGCTGTCCTTTTCCTCACTGATCAGAGATCCTTGTTATTCTCGGAGTTCCAGCAGCTTTTTTGTCTTTCTGCCTTCAGCAGTTTCAGTGCTTAAACTTGGAGTGTTCCTGGGAAGTGCTGTATATGCCAAGGAAGCCTTTCTCACAAAGTCCTATCCAGAATTGTAAATAGAAGTTGTTCGTGTCTTGGAGGGCAGGTGGTTTTTGAGATTTCCAACCTACCAGTGTGAACTCAAAAGATTTAAGTCACTCAGATACACCTTGTGTGACTACCCAAGGTAACACGGGATTTACATTCTCTCACTACTGCTGCAACTCAGAAAATTATTAGAAAGTGCAATAGAAAGTGTTTTTCATCAGCTTACTATGAGACTTTTGTATTTAGTATGTGTTCATGACTGGACAGCATAGGAAAACTGATGAAGGGAGAGGATGTCTTGATTAAAAGAGTGATGTGAAACTTATGGGGGTACAGCTGAGTTCCCAGATGTACCACAGGCACTCTTTGTCACCTTGGGATGGTCACTACAGGCACAGCTGCAGGATTGGTGGCAATACCAGCTGAGGGCAATTTTATCCTGGAAATAGACAAATTCCCAAACCTGGATTGCAATGGAGACACAAACCAACACAGCAGAGGGACCAGGAAGGGACACGTGTGACTGGGAATTCTAATGCTATCAAGAAGAAGCAGAGGGAACAGAGTAAACAATCTGCATGAACATCGACTCATACTCTATTCAATGGAGAATGCAAGCTGGGCTTCAGTAGTAGGCAGCCTTTTGTGAGCTGCCTGATTTCAAGGAACTGATCAAGATCAGCTCATCTAGAATCTCTCTTGATTTTTTGGCAATCACAAGGTTACCTTAAGTATTGTAGTTAAATCACTAACATTAGTTGGCACAAGTCTGGTCTTTAGTGCATTAACTTAAGATAATTGTTTCAATCATTCCTATTGTACTTGAAAAGAGAGGTCTATTGGTGATGTTTCAGGGCTCATTCACAAACTGGTACTCAAAATGTTCACCCTTCAGACCTATGAGCGTTGCTTCTCATTACAAAGTTTTGAAACCCAGCCATACTCTAATTTTAGCCTTCAGAGGAACAGAAAGAGGAACCAGTACCCAACCCCTTTGCTGAAAGAATCCTGAACAAAGTGACAAACTTAATCCCATTACCTCACCGCTGGAGGGGAGCTTCCCAGAAATTTTCCTAATGCAAGGGCAGAACAGCTATTCTTTCATCTTTTTCTGAGTCATACCCACAGCACCTCTCCGGAATGTAAATGTGCCTGGGTTTAATGATGTGACAAGGTAATTAAGTGTTAATGTGTGGACACAAAGGGTATACAAGTTGCCAGATCTAGTAAGTGCCAAAGCCAAGCTAAGGCGTTTACCAGATTTACAACATATTACTGATATAGGGTGGTAATGTCCACACATTATTTCAGTTACATAAATAAATTTTATAGTAATAGACAAATAAATTAACTTCATATTTGAATTTTAATAGTTATTCTAAGAAGAAAGCTACCAGGACCCAATCCTGTGTGCATGAGAAGCAATAGAAAAACTAGGACATAGAACTATTATTATTTAAATTACTATAATGCAGTCAAGTGCCAGCTCAGAATTGAACACTCCCCCTTCCTAGTCCCCTGTAGCTTGATGCTCTTGAGTTTTATGAGTTCACATACACAGAAATTCAGTTAAACATATAACAAAATTCTTTAGTTACACAAAAGCAGACAGGAGGTCACAACAAAATGGTCTGGATGAAATTGCCCTGTACCTTAGTCCTTAAATATCTCTAATGCCATGCGAATGGCTGATTTAACCGATTGAACTCCACACAATGTTGTTCAAAGTGCACTTTACCCTATAAATAAACATATTTTCTATTCAAATGCAAAATGCTTACTACTTTATGACAATGAATATTTGCATAACACAGGCACCCTGTTCTGAGTTCTGTAAACTCAGGTGCTAGAGTGACAGGTCATGAAGTCTGTAGCTTCCCTGAGCTCAGGATAGCTACTCTGGGCAGTGGAAGTATTCTCTGCCGGAGGGTCCCAGGCCCTGTGCAAAGACAACAATGGGGTCCTGTTAACCTTCAAGCATCACCTTGACTTTTTCACAGCTTCCTAGCCCACCAGCTGCCCTGTGTGTCCCAACCAGAGCCATGTTTGATGTCTATGCCACCAGCTGGAAAAGCTCTACCTGTCCTGAAGTCATTGTCTTTTCTTTTGCTTTCTAATTATGCCTTTTAGAATCACAGTACTTTTAGTTGTTATCCTTCGAGTAACACAACAAAGTGACACAACAAAGCATTAGAGATGAAAGACAGTTTCTAAGTATCAGTGTTTTGGAAGAGAAGATACAGACTGACATGAGAAGCCAAGAAGCTGGGTAGCATGTGGTTTGCAGCCAAAGAGTAAAGGAACAAGCAAGGTATCCAAGACTATCAGGAAGACTGCAGGTGCAGAGGATCAGGAACTCTGTTTGTACAACATCTATATTGTCCTATCACCTCTCCTCCTTCTCATTGTTCATCAATTAACTGACATGGGAAAATGAACATCAGCATGTATCAAGGAGAGAAGCTTTCAGCTGAGGGACTCCTGTTTTACAGCTGTGTCAAGCTGAGCATTTGCAATTGCCTGACTGTATCCTTACCCATGCATACTGGGCTTTCAGTCCTCATAGCTCAAGAGATGCCTGAAACAACCAAAAGCTTCTTTAGCAAAATACTCTGTGTGTCTGTGTGCCTTGTCTCTTAATGTAGATGAGATCTATCATGGCTGAAGACTGGGGTGCTGTGAACCTCACCTGTTTTTTGAGTTATTCTCTGTGTGACTTCAGAGACACCTGCACACCAGTAATGGAGAGAGGTGTTCAGCACAACTGACTGCACGTGTAGGCATGGCTGTTGCATGCCAGGAGGTGAACCTCACACGACTGCCACATAAAACCTCATTCACATCACTGAGCTATGTCTTAGCTGACAGCATTAAACCTATGACTACCAAATCCATTTGTGAAGCCTCTTGAACCACTAGCCATGAGTTACCATTTAAGAGGATGAGGTCAGATAGTTCTGGAGCTGAAAGGGGAATTTCACAATTGTTAAAGCTTGCAATGAGTCTCGAGAACTGTATTCCAAACCTGCAAGTTTTTTATGCCTTTATTTAGTTAAAAATTAGAAAGAGAGCGGTATGATTTTGCAAAATGTCTTGCCACCTAGGTGATATTTTTTGGGATGTTTCCTAAGTGGTTTAGAATATCCTGTCCCATCAAGTATAGGTTTACACTGGGCTTTGCCAAGACAGTAACACAGATATCCTCTTAGAGGAAGTCAAACTATAAAGGGAGGGACTGATTTTCTAGACAACTACATGTGCATGTTAATTACCAAGGTTAATAAAGGGGTGATCTTTGTGTGCCTCAATTCTTAGGTGTCCAAATGAAAAGACTTTATAAGAGCTCTAATTTCCAGAAATGTTTGTAAAAAGAGGCCTCATTTTGGCCTAAATGGAATATATTCAGATCACTTCCAATCTTAATAAATGGATCAGAAAATCCTAGAAATTGGAGAAGTACTGGCCAATGCTTTTTCTCTCTCTGATAATGATGGATTACAGCTTAGTGTTATGCCATTGAAAAAAACCCCAAACAATGAAGGTGGCAAGATGCTAGCTTTAGAAATATCAGACATGATAAAGAAGTTAAAATGAAAATTTTTTAAAAAGGGTTTTTACAGGGGTGTCAAAACCACGATCTACCTCAGTATGCCACATCATCTAGTCTAGAAAAGAGGACAAAAGAGCATCCAAACTTCTAAAAACCAGTGACTGGCTCTAGCTTGGGCAGGTAAGTGAGCAATTTATGCACTCACCAAAGCATTGGCAAAGGTCCTGCCATGACAGCAAGCTCCTGCCTAGCCCTGCTCTGCATAGCCGAGCTCTCTACCTATCCGAGTCCTAACCTGCTGAAAAGGAGGAGCTTTGCTCTGTCCCTTCCTTACTTATAACTTGTTGAGAGCTGGGAGGGAGGGAGGGGTGAGCTCCCTGTGGTGCATCCTGCTGCTGCCTGCCCGCTGCCAACCTCGCAGTCACCACCACAAATGTCTCCTGAGCAGAGTGGTGGCTGCCTCTGCACCCTGGGGTTCCTCTGGCTGCTTGTGGTGGTAGAAGCAAAGACCAGAACATACTACTTGGGAATTGTGGAAGAGAACTGGGACTATGCACCATCTGGGAAAAATCTGATCACTGGACAAAGCCTCTTAGAGGACAAGTAAGTGACTGGAGGCTTTGATAAGCTGAAGGTGTATCAACAGCTTTAAACAAAATCGGTTAACACGATTAATATTGCTGAAAATGTTGTAAGATGGCTTTTTTTTTTTCTTGGTTTTATTCTAATGACATTGTCATAGTTGGGATTTCAGCTTTGAGGCAAGAGTAGACTTTGATAGACTTCTCTTCCATCATGGTTGATTAAGCAAGGTGATAGTAAATGTGCATTTGAAGGAGATGTTAAGGAACTGATGTTTGTCAAGAAAGCATCAAGTAGTGGGCTTAAAATCCCCTATGTGTCTTTCATGAAGAGGCAGGTATTTCTGGGATATCCAAAAGCAAACCCCAACTTTGCTATAATCAAACACAGCATCTTCCAATAAGACACAAAAGTCTGTTTAACTGCCAAAAGATTCTAAGTTTTCTCCCTGTGAGATGATAACATTTGGGGAACTTGGTATGATATTGTGAAATGTGTACAGTACCTATGAATGAGATACAAGTCCCTATATCCCTGAAATGTATACAGCTTTGGGGACCTCCATTTAGAAAATCTATTTGATTTTCTAATATACAGCAGTGAATGATCAGACAGAATTCCTGGTGATCACCAGAACTGAAAATGGAGTTAGGGAGAGCCTAGGTAAGCACTGTGATGAACTGAGCCTTGGCCAGTGGAAAACTGCTCTTATGTCTGTACTTCTGGGGTTGGCTGTGTGTTCCTCCCACACCTGGACATTAGATGGAGGTAGAACTGATCCTTGGTGTCTCTCTAAAGAATAATTTGGGGTGGAAGGGACCTTTAAAGGTCATTTAGTCCATGTCCCCTGCCATGATCAGAGACACCTTCAACTAGATCAGATTGCTCAGAGCCATTTCCAACCTGACCTTAAATGTTTCCAGGGATAGGGCATCCACCACCTCTGTGGGCAGTGTGTGCCAGTGTTTTACCACCCTCATTGAGAAAAACTTTTTCCTTATATCTAATCTAAATTGACTCTCTTTTAGTTTAAAACCATTACCTTGTACAGCATGGGTTTCAAGCATGTGTGGGAATATTTGTAATATTTCATTGATATCTTCAACATGATAGATATAGTTTGGAGGTCCTTCCTCTGAATCTAGACTTGGGATTGAGGTGGGAACTGTGAGCGAGTGAGGAGTTCCTGGTGTCCATACCAGATCTGGAAGCACACTGGGAGCTGGATGGTGCACTCCAGGAGTTAGAAATGGAAATGTCCTTTCTGACTTTTCAGGAAATCTCAAGCAATGCTGGACTTTTCTCTACTGGCCAATAATTTTTGAATCACTCTCAGCTGTATTTCATAAAGAAAATTATTTTGCCACAAGCAGGAGTTAATAAAGAGTTTTATTTTTCAACACAAGTTTATGATTATACTTTTAATAAATAAAGGTCCAAGTCAGTAAGTGTTAACCTTTATAGGGAGAATTCAGGAGAATAGTTTGTTCCAAGTCCATGAAAACAAGCATTTCTGGCAAGGTTATTCCTCATTTGTGTTTAATTCTTGAATTTCTCACTTTCCTACTCTTTATAGCAGAGGGTAACTTTCTCCAGTCACTAAACCAGAAGACCTCTCATTATATAATAGTAAATCCACTCCAGTACACTAGACAGATTGGAACTTGTTCTGTAAATTGTATTTCTGAGGTTGTCTGCACTTTGTGTTCCCTGAACATCAAGTAGCACATTTACTTTTAAGTCTGTGACATGAATGCAATGCCTTTCACAAAATGGCAAGACAGGGAGGGAAGATAGCTTGTGTCTTCAGTCATCACTGTAATGTAATAATTACAGAATGCTAATTCCAAAGGATTTACCCACAGAGGATTTTAATGTGGAGTACACATTCAAGGCTGAGGAGCTGTTTGCCATGAACTCCCTTCATGCAGAATAATTAAGTGATTCTTGTTATTATTTTATTCCATTTTCAAATTGTATTGACTCGAACCAGAATGAAGTGCTTTATTCTGGAATAATAGTGTGTCTGCATAAGCATGTGGGTTAAATACCGAACCAGTAATAACTATTTTGACTATTCAGTTCTTTAGGATAACCTCTAATGTAAATTTAAAGCAGTATACTAATGGGCTACTTTTCAGCTAATTAATTGGTTCCTATGGATGTTATAAAAAATGTAGTTCTATAAGCAAAGTTTAAAGATTATTTCCCAGGTACTGACAGGGATACATTTTAAGCCAGCTTTGTTCTGCAAGCAGCAATGCTGTGCTCGCTGAGCCTAGCACTTCTCACCTTGTGATGCATCCTCATAGCACCCATCTGATGGGGCACTATCCCAGTTCTATTGTGAGGCAAGTGAAGATAAAGAGGTTGCAGACAAACTTATTATCTTTAAAAGAATTGGTGCATACACATAAAGGAATGCACCCTTTGATTCCCTAGCTAGCCCACAGAGATATAATCAAAACCACTTATTCTTCAGTACTTAATGAAAATCCTGAATTAGCAAGTCTGGAATGGAAAGTGTTACGTTACCTGGATCAGATAGTGACATTTAAGAGATGATTTTCAATGTTGTTATGCCAAAGTCAATACCTTCCTCAGCCTTCAGTATTTAGGAATAAAGAGGATAAAGGAGGCTTCAGTAGCTGAGGCATGGGGCTGGAAATCAAGTGAGCTGATTCTGGCACCAAACACAGCTATGCCACTCAGTTCCTGCTGTGCTGGTGCTGAGTGAGCTGCCTCTGGAGCCAGGAATCCTAGTGCTGCATCAGAACCTCCATGGGTGTGAGCTGAAAAGGCTGCCTCTCCCCAGAGCCGATTAGCCCAAACCCAGCCCTGTGTTAGCATAACTATTCTGCTTGGATGATAATTTTTATTATGCCTTGTCTTACTGCAGTGCTCAAGGGCCAGTCTACTGCTTGCACAGAACAAGTATCACAAGTATCTTGCTGCACATCAGTACTTTTTATGTAAAGAGAATAATGAGACTGTTCACCTCTTCCTTTTGTTTTGTCTAATTGAGGCCTTAAGCTGTTCTACTAATTCTCATAATTTGGAGTGTTATGAATGAAACAAAGAAATTTCATTCTCTGTTATCCTTCAAAAATTAAACTTACATTTTCTGAAGCACAAGGGCCTTTGGAAGTTGCAGATCCTAATTATGGCCACTGGGCATAGGTGAGCTAAGAAGTTGTTCAGCATCCCTTCCCACCTGATATAACTGGTAAAAGAGTTGGCATCATTAAACCATGCTGGACTGGACACACAAGGTACAAGGTGCTGTCAGTGCTGCTGGATGTGCTGCAGACTTTGTGAGTTAGGGCATGGGTATTACTGCAGTAGGAGGGTGAGCTTGGATGTTACCTGTTCCCTTTAATGGTCACATGGGAAATGACCTTTCAAAAGGAAAATACACCTAGGTGTTGTGTCTTGCCATGCATGAGTTATTCTCTCCCTGCTGTAGCTCAACCTTCAGGATTAAAGTTTAGTTGATAATCCCTTTAAATTAATTTGATACTAGTTTATACTATGGACACTTAAATCTTGCTCTGCTGGTGGTAGAGGTTAGTAAGATTTGCCTGATGTAACAGCTCATCCCTATTCTTTAGAACACCAATTCTACATTTATCTGGGCCAAGTCTTGCACGTAGCAACACTAACGGGTGTTTTTTGTTACCACAGCATCAAACATGTTTTGAGCAATTTGCCTATGAGGAGATCCCACCCAGACAAATGAGGGTGAAACTGTCGTCACAGATGCTAAACTAATGGCTGAGTCATTATGTGGCCAAATAACCCAATTGCAACAGCAGAGATGATCATTGTGGGAAGGGTCAACATCAAAAGGGCATTGGAGGTGAAATCCTGGCTCTAATGAAGCCTGAGATGACTTTTATTATTGACTTCAGGGGAAGTACAAATTTATTGCAGGAGAGAAGCCATCATCCCACACCAGTGTCACCTCAGAGCTTCATCTAAGATTTTATGAATTTGATTGACCTTTTCCACAGCTTGTGTGGGTCAGAAAAAGCCTAAAACATTCTTTGAGGACTTTGTATCTCTCTCTTTTGAGGACACACAACTTACTTTGTTGTTTGATGCTTTGCGGTCAGGGCACCATCTACAAAGGTGAGTTGGCACCACCAGTCCCCCTCCACTGGCCATTCCTCAAGAACAGACACTGCATTGGCCTTAGCGAGGGAGTCATGGTTTGGCAGACAGTTACCCTAAACAGATTATATGACCCAGGGCTTAAAATGTACCCTAAACAGATTATATGACCCAGGGCTTAAAATGGTTGGGGCAGTCTGGAGCCATGGGCACTATCCCTGCTTACTTCAGCCACAGGAAAAATCTGGAACTCTGAGGTAAAAAAGATGTTATAAACTCAGTCATTGAGTATATGAAGAGGATAGAGAGTAAAGAAGGTTTCACCACCAACAGATTTTAGGGAATAAACCCATGAAGATGCTTGTTTAAATGTTTGCCAGTGTAAAATCTTTGGAACTTTAGTGGAACAATAAAAATAAAAGGAAGTTTTCATTTGCCTACAGTTTCACCCAGGACTGTACAGCAGCTATTGGCAATGTTAACTACAGGAAAAAATTTGGAAGTCCATATCTGCTAGTTATTCTGAATGCTGATTTTTTGGCACTCAGTGGTGATTACAGCAGCAAACAAACTCAGAAGCCTTCAAAAGTCTATTAGAGAGGTTCTGTCTTCAGACTACTAGGGAGCTGTTTACTTGGCCATGCACACTATAACACAGTACTGGTGTAAGCACCTCTTGGAAAACATAACATCTGTTAGGCTGTAACCTTAAGATCAAAGATAACATAAACATGGTAAAAATCATGGCAAAACACTTCTTCTGTGTGGTAAAAGAAATAAGTGGAGAAATTACACTTCACTCATGATCCTGTCCTAAATCATGATCCTTACTGGACACAGCAGATTGCCTGCATTTCTAGTCTTGAAGTAGAATCTATGTGACACTCTTGTTTTACTCCTTCTCTCATTTGGAAGAGACTTACTGTTCATCATTGCAGGGACATGGATGTCTGTAATTATGTTAACACTTATTTTAAGGAATTATAGTTAATACCCTATTAATAACTCACTGTTCCATTCATTTGCGTTGCCAAATTTCCTTGGATGTTAGGAAATACTGAGAGTGGTCAGGCAGCAAAATGGAACCAGCACAAAAATAAAGGCAGGATTGCACGGCTTTCTTAGTTTGAACAAGATTTTTTATGCCCTAATTTGCAAGCCTGCTTATTTCTGTATGTAACCTCAAGACTGCCCTGACTAGAGGAGATGAAGGAGGGAATTCAGGAAATTTTCATGGGTATAGCCCAAGAGGATGGAGTATTACCCTTTGCTATCGGGAGTGGAGCTGGCAGAGCATTATGTGCAGGCTGACAACTGAGTTGGAGGGAGATAGTTAAAATTTAGAGCAGCAGTTCTTACATCTGCACAAGACCAGATAGGTGGAAGTGGTTCAGGCAGTGATATCACAAAATCACCGTGAGGATGAAACAGTTTGCAGTGAGCAGGGAAGTATGAAGAGGGAGGGAGAAGGTTTGTCTTCTTGTGACAAGAGAGGAATTACAGATAAGAAACCTTTTGGCGCGAGCTCCAGTGTGGGTATTCCAGTGATCCTTGCAGGTCCCTTCCAACTGAGAATATTCTGTGATTCTCTGATTCTGCAAAGGACTTTAAGCACTGTAATGTGCAGCACATTATACCTGTAAAGAAGCACAGAGCTACCAGCTACTTGCAATGCTGAGGTGGGCACCCAAAATCCTCCTGGATGAAATGGGGTAGCCTGGGCACCTAGAGTGGGACTAACAACCCCCAGTGAGCCCTGTTCTCAGGTACTGAGGGCAAACAAAAGGATGTGCTGAAAATACATGTCTCTGTGCATACAGAGCATCACCTACACTGTGAGTGCTGCAGCTGATACCTATTGCACTGACAGTGGGCTCTGCAGCTCCAAACAAGGGGATCGTTTGAATAGGCCCCTTTCAGAAAACTGCCACTAAAAAGGCTTCTTTTCCTGCCTCCTAGATGGCTTTAAGTAGGAGACAAGCAAAGATCCAGGTATTATAGCATGGCTTTATATGAGAAAGTCTCCAGTGCTTAAGCCTAGAGGATTTTCTCAGGGTGATTTCTTGAACTTCAGTAATTAACTGGATGTTGCAATCCCTGATCCATGCATTTAAAAGAGCTAGGCTCATGTCAAGCATCAAACAAAGCCTCATCAAGCAGTGCATTTTTTTGGGGTACGATTCTCCTTCTTCAGGAGAGACAATGTACCCTGGGTGTGTTATGGGAGAGTGTGCAAAATTATCTGGCATGAAAGCCAAGGGCATAAAGACACTGTCACCACGGGGAAAGTATGGTGCCATTGCAGCACCTCATTAAAATATTAGTGGCTGATGAAATTGGAAAAAAAATCTCTCCTGAAAATAGGGACTTTTCAAAAAATCTATTAGATATTTTTCTAATGAAAATTTCTTATAAATTGTTAAAAAAATCAGTTCATAATTTGAATTAAGGCATAGCCACATAAATACGTTGCCATGAGGTAAGGAAGCATGTGCATTTACACTGAACTCCTACTGACACTATTTACTACTCTATGGTAAAGACTCTTGTAGTAGCTCTTCCCCCCAGGCAGTGGAAGGTATCTTCTCCTTGATGAATGCAGTGTGACTTGCCAGGTCTTGCTATGTGCACAGACAGTTACCACAGACCTGCTAGTTCACTGAAAATCCAGATTTCTTGGCAACTCATTCCTTAACTGTGCTTTTGGGGTGTATTCATCTGATGTATGTTTTTCTGTGAAGAAGCAGACTGAGAAGCTTCTGTCCCTTCCCCGCCATCCCCACCGACTGTTTCTGCCACAGCAGTATCATTGGCAGTGTTTCAATTTGTGCCAAAGCTTGTGGCTTGTTATAAAACTCATGTTTTAAATGAAAAAATATTCTTTTTGGAGGCTTTTATATCTGAATCAATTCAAGGGCCTGTTTTAGACAGTGACAATGGAGATGCATGACCACATGGGGGATGTTGTGAGTTATGGTGTCCTAGAAATCATAGAATCATAGAATGGTTTGGGTAGCGGGAGTAGTGTATCTTATGGTGAAGAGCTTACAGCAAATCATACCTTTCAACTCATGCAATATCTACCACTTAGGTTACTGGCACTTCACAAAAGCATCTAAAAAAAATTGGTTAAGCAGGTGAACTGACCAGTCTCAAAAACTCACAGTGAATATAAAATTGCTGTATTTCTGCCAGTGATACTTCAGGAAAATTTAGTTCAGCTTTTTTTATGAGTTTGTTAGGAACCATGAAAGTTCAAAAAATCTTCAGGGAATGAAAAACTCATGGAGCAGTCAACTATGGTGAAGTTGGTTATACAATCCACTGCTGGTTGTGTAGCAAAGCATTTCATTTCTGCCCTCATTGTGTGGGATAATTAGGGGTTATCAACTGTAACCTGGAGAGAAGCAAAAAATGGATTTTATATCATCACAGTTGGGATGAACATGCGTTGCGAGTATGATGCTATAATTAAAAGGAAAAAACTATTTCCCAGTTGTGTGAGAAATATTGACTGGGAACACCTCTGGCCCTAGCTGGAACATTATGTACCTATTGTGTGAGTTCTTATGTTTAGACTTCAAAAGAGATAGGGAAATACTGGTTTTCAAAAAAGAGCTTTGGGAAAGATTTGTGGCATAAAGAATGTCAGTGTACTTGGTTTGTCCAGTAGAAAGGTAGGAGGCAATTTAGTCAATTAATTAAAACTTATGCAGGTGTCTGCATAGAAAAGAAGTTCTTGATGGCATGTGGCTCCTTTGATCTGAGAGAGGGCTTGATGGAAACCAGTTGGAGTGTGGAGCTGGATGATATTAGACTGCAAATACAGTTCAGGTTTCCAAGGAAGCAGGTATTTAAAAGCTGTAATATGTTAACCACTGATCATATGATGGGTTCTCCATCACTTGAAGTTGCTATAAACACAGACTCTGGAACGTAGAAATTATGCGTTTCATGCAAAACACATTTAATGTTATTCTTCCAGGGAGTCAAACTATCTGATTAGAATTGCTCTTATTAACTTTTGAAAAAAACTTAATTTGGGTTTCTTTTCCTACTGAACAGTCATGCTTTCAGAGGTGAAGTTTCAAACCTTCAAAAGAGGGAGAAGCTGCTAAAACTGCACAGAAAGGCTTGAGTGGCCAGTCCTCAATGAAGACTTGTAGCAACTGTGCTAAAGACCAGACCTGCAATTAGATGGTTGTTATTGTACAGAAAGGGGCTTGGACCCTGCTAGTCCTGTTCAGATTTACTCCTTAGCTCTAATTCCACCAGCTGTGTGACCTGTGGAGGGAACTATTTATCTTCACTGTAAGCACCAGTTATTTGATCAATTCTTAAGTGAGGTTTATTGTCTCTAAATTATTTTCTCTTCCCAACACTAGGTTTGCAAGTGTGTATGCGACAAGAGGAGCCAACCGAATAGGACGTGTGTACAAAAAGGCTATTTTTAGGCAATTCACAGATGACACTTACTCCCAAGAGATCCCCAAAGCAGCATGGCTGGGATTCCTTGGGCCAGTCCTGAAGGCAGAAGAAGAGGATGTTTTTATCATCCATCTAAAAAACTTTGCTTCCCGCCCATACTCTGTGCATCCACATGGGGTCTTCTATGACAAGGACTCTGAAGGTAAAAGCTTGTTTGCCTTTTCCTCTCTTTTCCTCCTGGAGTAACTTGTATCATGGCTAAAAGTCTGTTTAAGTATTTCTTGTTATGGACATTGACATCAGAGTACTTGAGATCACTAAAACCAGGAACAGCCTCATCTCTTAAAACTTTTTAGCACAAACTTTCGATATTTGGGATAAATCCAGTACTGAAACAGGTTAGATGGGTCTTTGTTCCAGAATTATTTTTCTGAATTGTAGGTAACCAAAACATCTTCCCTCCTTCCTTTTACATATTTAGTCTATTTGAATGCATGGAGTTCTTGCAACTAAATGTTTTCCTCTTTTTTGAGTTATAACAGGCATGATATGGTTTTCAGAATCCCAAACCTATGTATGTATATCTTTGTTAGAGGATTGTGTGGATTTGCCTACATTCAGTACCTTCATCACTTTTCCGTGAGAAGATACATAATGTTAGCTGACAAAATGTGCAGATGACTGCACTGAAAATAAAGAAACAAGAAAAAAATAGAGCATTTTTAAAGCTTTTTCTACTGATGAAACATGGATTTTAACTCTCAATATTATTGTGATGAGATTGCCAGAAATATTGAGTTTTTTCACAATGTCTCAGTGATTCTGTGTTTGAGTGCTGTTATTATTTTATAAACAAGTGTTAAAATAGAATAAATTACACATTTATTTAACAAAATTAGTTAAGGAGGGGCTAAAAGCTTCCTTTTTTCTTTTTATGTATTAGGAGCACTTTACCCTGATGGAACCGGTGGTAAAAGCAAGGAGGACGACTTTGTTGTTCCTGGTGGAAATTACACATACACATGGCCAGTAAGGAAAGATTATTCCCCAACTTTGGCAGACTCAAACTGCTTGACTTGGATTTACCATTCTCACATTGACACACCAAGAGATATTGCATCTGGTTTAATTGGGCCTCTGCTGGTGTGTAAAAAAGGTACTGAGCTAGAAACACTGATTGAGCAAGCCCCTCTGCCAAGCTTGGCATCTTAACAGTCATTTTTGCTTACAGGTATAATCATGATGGTCTAGAGTCTATCCCTACATAGCCCATAAAAAGGGGCAAGGAATAGATGGGCCATTCCAGCAGCATCCCAGGGTAGGTATTGTAGCTCTGGGACAACCCCCTTCCTGCTCCCCTTTGGCTTCATGAGAGATTTACCTCAGCTGGTGGAGGGACTGCAGCATGCTCTGTGACCATCCTGTCGTGGCTGAGACCAACTATAAATGTTCCCAAACTGGGGTAATTTCAGGAAGAACAAAGGACTCATTGCTCTGGAAATGAAATTAGGGCTGGGCAGGTGACTTTGGCAACAGTGTTTACATACTTGAAAGCCCAGTATTTGTAATTATTTCCCCACACAAATCATATGTTTATTTTTGCTCACAAGTTGTATCTTACAACCATAGGGGGGTGTGCACTGAACAGCCTGTCCTGTGTACATTATAGCCTGCTAATGTTTTGCTGGAGACATCATCTACCAGCCCTCTCCCCTTGATCAGCTGAGCCATTGCCACCTCTGTCTCTGGGCACGTATAACTATGCCCCTTCTTTCCAGTAACTCCCATAGTACAAAATCAGCCCAGATTTTATGTACAGAACATCTAAGTGAAGCAGGTTTTACATATGAAGAAGAGAAAGACTTCAATGTGGAAAGGACAGGCCCTGTCTCCAGCTTAACTCACTCATTTCCTTTGAAATCTGCAGAACTGCCTGAATATGTGAAACTGAGCTGATAACTACACAACAATACATGAAGCTAGGAGATAGCACATTCTAAACAATCCTAGCCTGAAAGGCTAGTGTTATCTGCATGTTTGCTGTTGAATTCATCAAGGTGGATATCTACATAATGTTACTGCTCTACTCATCCACACAGCAGTGGTGGACACAAGACTGACAGCAAGTCTCTGAGCTCTCTCCTGTAGAAGGCAGGAGAAGCAAAGGTTTTCATGGGCTCAGAGACAGACTGGACAATTAGATGAAGTTTACAGCTGCCAATGGATAATAAGACTCCTTGATATAACTCCTATAGTCTCAGGTTGTTTGCCAAGTGATCCTTTGGATAATTGTATTGAACTTACCTGGAATAGATTCTAATCATCCTGCCTTCAGCCTTTTTAAATTTAAGTATCTAGTCCTAGATAATTTGCAAGGATTCCTCATTAGTCTGTGGAGAGTGAGCCACATTTAAATGGCCTTTCTGGTGGTATGATTCAGCAGTCACTTGAATGCAACAGAAATGCAGGCTACCACTCTCCCCTCCTTAACTCCCAGTCAAAAAGAACCCACCCTGCTTTCTGGCTAGATCAGGCCCACAAACTGGCTCACTGTGCACAGATGCTAACTAACACTGACTGAAGGGCAGGGTTGGGTGCAGCAGGCCAAAGAGGGGGAAATGGGACAACAAATATTGACAAGTACTTGTGCTTATGTCAAAACAAAGAGGTACTGAAATACCAGCTTGAGTTAGACAAGATGAACTGCCTTCTGGAGGCACTCATCTGTTCAAAGACTGTTGGAGGGGAGTCAAGATGTCCTAGAAGAGCAAAATTAGGAGATTCATCCTGCCCTGTAGAACACGAGCAGTGCACTGTATTTCCTTGAGTGCTCCAAGGTTATCTTCACTTTTAAATTCAATCCCCTCCAAGGCTTTTTTTATCACTTTCCTTTTTGTTTGCAATTTAGGAACTGCAGATGACACCACAATAGAAGGGACTGGTGCTGCTAATGCTTTTGCCCTGATGTTTAGCATTGTAGATGAAAACTTCAGCTGGTACCTCGATGAGAATATAAACACCTTCTGCTTAGAACCAGACACAGTGGACAAAGAGGATGAAGGTTTCCAGACCAGCAACCGAATGCATGGTGAGAAGGACTCTTGACCAAATGGTGACCTACAGCAGTTAGCAGGCTCTTCACTTCAGTAGAGCTTTCTGTCCCCTGTAATGTCTCTCCTTTATCTGTGGCAGCAAGAAATGAGTCAGGATGTTGAAGTACTGTGTTGATAAAAACCTCTCCCTAAATAAAGCATGACACACTGGTTTGCAGAAAGGAGATTTGGCTTTCATGCCCAGCTCTGCCATTTGTTTAGCATTTTATCTTAGGCAACAGATTTAAGCCATTTGTTTGTCCAGCTGTGAAAAGAGAAAAGAAAGCTGCAGAGCACTTAGAGATGTGTGTATTGGAAGAGTTCTCAAAGTTCTCTCTTGCCCTTCAGAGGTCCATTGGCCAGTAGTGCTTTGTGCCATTTGGACATCTGGTGTAAGAAGTTAATTCCAGATAGTTCAGTATATTTTGGTTGTTCCAGGGAGTCTAGGAGCTAAAATATTTTGCAAAATATGAGTCTCATTCTCTGAGTGTCCTGATACATTGTCAGATGTGGAAGCTGAGGAAGAGAAAGCTGACTAGACTGATTTGACTGATATCATAATTTTCAAATCTGAATTGCTTAAGCCTGTCATATAATGGCATATTTATGACTCAGCATAAGAGCAAATAGATTTCAGCCATGCTAAATATCTGCAGAACAAGTTAACTTCATTATCTGACCTTTTTGATTGTGACTCAGCCTTTGTAACATCTTGGTATTACCCAGGAAGTTTTTCACAGACACAGACAGAGAATTTGGGGCATTTGATCATCTAGATCTGTAAGCTGTATGTTCAAACTGTTACTCTTCATCGAGGAGCCTATGAGGGCCTTATTCAGTGTGAATATTCAGGCAGTTTCTTTTCTGGGCTAGGAAAGAATCATCCTTAGAAATGGGATCAAAGGCTCTTGGCACTTTTCTTTCACCTCTCATAAAGTCTCATACTTTTGTTTTTAGCTATTAACGGTTATATTTATGGCAATCTCCCCGGCTTGGAGATGTGTGCTGACACTTCCATGTCCTGGCATTTGTTTGGCATGGGAAGCGAGATAGATATCCATGCTGCTTATTTCTACGGCCACACGTTCACTAATAGAGACCAGAGAGCAGATGTCGTCGGCCTGTTCCCAGCAACGTTCATCACAGCAGAGATGACTCCCGGGAGCCCTGGGAGGTGGCTGATAACGTGCCAGGTTAACGAGCACTTACGAGGTATGCTGCTATAGATCCCCCTCATCCTTTCCGAAGTTCCAGGCTCTATTATGTTCGGAAAAGAAAACTGAGGGATGTTTCCAGAAAAAGCAGGCTTTGACACTTTTTTTGTGACTTTGAAGCACTTTGGAACTACTTCATCAGATAAACATCATGAATACGAGTTTAGTCACCAGTGGAAATTATACACATTGGACTTTACTTTAGCTAGTATGAGTGACTTGGTTGTGTAACTCGTATGAGGAAGGCTTGCTAGACTCAGCACTGTCACCACGCTTTCTATGTAAACAGGAGATTTTTATGAGCAATGAGAGGAGCCTTTGTCACCACTTTTTGTTGTAGACAAGTACTTACATATTAAAAAAACCATGCCAGCTGAAGGAATTTGATGGTGATATTGTGATACTTGTGTGGTGCGAGACCCCAAAAGCAAATATCATAAAGTAGGTCTCACAGCAGCGGGCAATGTATAATTATCATAGCAGAGATGAGTTGGGAGAATTTTTACTTCTGTGAGCTTGTACATTGATTTCAGTGGGATTTGCATCAGGCAAAACAGACTTGATTCTGGCAAGCAACAAATACCTTCAGTGGAAATACCCAGCCTCTATTTCAATGAAAGTCAAGGGGAGATGATGCCATTTTGCAGACTTCTGGAGGTACTCTGATGCCCCAAATCATTCTACCAGCCTTACACTGATTAAGAAATTGAGTAAATAAGCCAACTAATGAGTGCCACTGTTGTCAGTGGGTTTCACCCTTGGTATAAAGCACCACCTTGCAAAAGAAGGACGCTGGCGTCTGTCCCAGTGTAGGCAGAGAAAGTCTTTTAAAACAAAAATTTACTCTGGTAGTTATTTTCAACCCATGTAGCTCCCAGAGAGTTTTGAATGTGCATTTGTATCCATGAGATTGCTGACACTGCAGCTGGTCAGGGACTGTCTCCAGACTCTTTCTCCTCCCAGGTGGCATGGAGGCACTATATGATGTTCAGATCTGCCAAAAAAACCTGTCTCACCCTTCACCAATCAGTCATATGAGAAGATACTATATTGCTGCCGAAGAAGTGCTCTGGAATTACGGACCTGATGGTTATGATAAATTCACTGGGCAGGGTTTGAATGCCACTGGCAGGTGAGTTTTCTTGTCCTCTCCTGTTGTGCTTTAATTTCAGGAGTCTGTGTGAGACTTCCCCAGTGATTCACCAGGGCTAGGACCCGCACTGTTATTAATTTTAATTGAAAGGGGCAGGGAAGAATGGATTTACACAGCCTTGCCAGGAAGTTAGATTCGTAACTGTGATGCTCGTAGTTGCTTTCTGGAAACACTTATCTTGCTCCATTAAGTACATGAAGAAAGTGACCCCAGTGAGGCACACCAAGTTCAACAGAGTTAATGACCCTTTGTCAAGACTACTCAGGCAGCTTTCACACCTACAGTCAGTGCATTTCAGAGGCACCATAACGGTAGAATTTTCCCCTCTGCTATTACTGATGAAGACAAACTGAATTACAGTGTCTCCCAGAAAAGCCAACAAGGATTAGAGACACACTGTGCACAGTTCTTGCCCTAAGGTAAGTTGATACAGATATCTCCCTAAGTAAATTGGTGTTAAACATTAAAGTCTAATGCACAATGAATGCTCATTTGTTAACTAATTCTAACTGGTAATATCTCTCTTTGTCTGCTAGAAAAGTGTATGCAAACTAGTAACTTCTGGGGTCATGTCTCCTGTGTCTGGAGTAATAACTTTATCTGAAATGAAGGGTTCCGTCTGAACCTTCAATTATTTAATCAGTCTGATTTGCTAATTCCACAGTGAATCTGCAACTTATTTCACACAAGGTACTGACAGAATAGGAGGACAATATTGGAAAGTTCGCTATGTGGAATACACTGATGCAACATTCAGTAAGAAGACTTGGTCAGAGGACATGAAGCACCTGGGAATACTTGGTATAGTGAATATTTTCCCCTCCTGTCACTATATCAGGTTTGAATGCAGAACCACTTGGTTCCAGAGGGGAATTTAATGCTTGCAGTCCCCTCTTTTTTTGGTGGAAATATGTTAGAGAGTAGTTCTTCTAATAGCTTCCCTCACCCTCTTTTTTAAGGTCCCGTTATAAAAGCTGAAGTAGGAGATACAGTGCTGGTTACTTTTGCCAACAAAGCCAGAAGAAGCTACAGCATTATGGCCCATGGTGTAAGCTTCAGCAAGCTATCGGAAGGTGCTCCCTACCTAGATGGTAAGTTTAGACTGTACTACTGTATCATCACATCTAGAATACCTGAGTTTAAAAATCTGCTGCTGCTCTGCAGTTTTGTCCTTTTTGTGGGTACTAAGGCATGGAAGGGATGATTTTATTAAGTTTACCTGTCACAATCCATGGGACTCCACAGTGTGGGAATGTGTTCTTCCCCTTGGATATGTGCCAGACAAGATGTCTAACACTAGCTGAGGTCCATGTTGAACAGAAGTCACAAGCACAATCCAATTTATATTAGTTCTAATCTAATATTACTCCATTGCAATCAGTGGATCTCCTCTGGACATACTCCAGAATTATGAATCTTAGGATCTGGCATGATGGCCCTGCTGAGTCTTTAGATATAGCTATCCACTATTCTCTAATCCAGGCCAGCATTGCTCTTGCTTTACTGTTGGGATAGTCAGTGTCAAAGCCAATTTTTATCTGATTGCCCGCCCTGAAATGTGAAACAGTGATAATCCTTATTAACTCTCATAAATAGATAAACACTGAAATGGAGCATTTGAGAAAGTCTTCCTCTAATTTTATGAAAGGACAGGAAATTTATTCCTTAAGTTTAACTATTAAATGTTAAATGGCATGTTTAATCAACAGGCATTTTTTACAGTCAGTGACAGGAAACAAATCCTTCAGAGAGAGATGAGTCCCATTTATATTTAAAAAAAAACACTTATTTTAGGAGACAGTAGTTCACCCTCTGGAGATATGATTCTCTCTCCATCAACTACAGAAGTCTAGAGTTTGGATTAGGGATTGAGTTTGAGATGGCTCGACTAAGGTGAGCTGAATCCCATCCATAGCCTAGAGATAATGTTGTGATCTCTGAAAAAGTTTTTGCTGCATTTGCAGCACTGAAAAGAAAGGTAGTTTTCTTGTTGCTTAAATTGCTTTGTTTCCACCACAATACATCAAAAAGAAACTCGTGAAACTCCCTCCCTTGAAAACTGTACTAAGAGAACCAGGTCAACATGTAAAACTCATCATACAATAAAATCAATGCAAAAGGCTTTATTAAATTGTCGTGTCTAGTTGCTGACCTTGGAACTCAACAAATTTGCCAGCAGGCAAATCACAAAAAAACCCAACTGGCTTGAGTTCAGCCTTGAAGTTATCTGCACAGATCCTAACGTCACCCATGTCTGAGGTAGTTCCCCAACGGAAGAGCAGCTTCCCTCTCTTCTCTCTCCTGTTGTACTATAATTTAGCACTCTCTTGCCCTCCAACATTGCACACTTTGGCCTGGAGCAAAATCAAATAAAACCCTGCAATTCAGCAGCTGTGTGATCTGCACATCTCTGGGTGTTTGGAGAGGAACCTGACTCCAGATTCATCAATAATATTTCCGTTCCTCCTTCTCTCCTTTAACCATTGTGCCTTTGATTTCCATTACATCTATCTACAAGTGTAGAGGTCTCACAGGAGCTGTAGGTTTACACAGATAAATGATTTTTCAAAGGCTGTGCATTGTCTGAGTGCAGCCTATTCATGGGAAAATACCGTACACAAATGTACCTGCAGATATCTACAGATGTTTGCAGACACAGGTTTTTTCAGTTCTGCCCTCAGGAAACACCCTTCCATGCTGTGTTTGACACTTGTCCAGTCTCAGAGGCTTTTTGACTCCAAATCGATGTTTTCCTTACTAAGCATTGTTGCAGAATGAGTCCAGTAGTATAAGATACTGTTGAATCAGTACTCTGTATTGCAATTTGCAGTAAATAGTATGTCTTCAAAATTAATACTGTTGTTTTCACTTGTGTCTAAGTTTTTAAGTGGATTCTCTTGCAATATTAGAGAGGAGTATTAGATCAATGTGGTGTGCTGCTGCCCGACTCATCTGACTATGATGAAAAAATCTAGCCAATGGATGCTTAAGTGTTAAACAAAATTTCTGATTTGATCTTCCTCATAGCAAAGACCAGAAAAGTTACTCTGCATTTTTTTTTCTACAAAGGTTGCAGGGCTGACCCCTTTTTCTGACTTTCAAGTCCCTTTTGTAAGTTCTCTCTGAGTGAATACAAACACTCCTTTACAGTGGCTTAATTACATGAGAGGTGCTACATCCACCCTTTGCATGGTAGCAGACAATGGCCTAAATCCTTTAAAAGTAGCCTTCAAAAGAAGTAACATCTGCCACTCTGTGCAGATGCTGACAAAGGATCCTGTGCATTGCTTCAAAATCAAAAAGAAACAATTATCAGGATCAGATTTGTTTAGAATTTCTAAAGACCCACAGCTATAGCTCCGCTTGCTAATGTAATTGCTTTGTTGGTGCTTAATGAAGTGCCAGAGTCTGAGTTTGTGCCACAGATAAATCTCATGATAGGGCAGGTAAGCTACAAACATTAGAGGAAGCCATTTAAGAACCAGGATGAGGTCTGCTGTATTGTCTGATTGAATCCAGATAATCCACAGTAGCGTCGGAAGGTGTCTGGGTGAAGCAGCTAAACTTGTTCTTCGGGGAATGGGCTTGGTTGTCCCCATGGTACTGGACTCAGGTGAAACGTCCCCATGGCATAACTGCCGAGACATCAGGATGGTGCTTGAGCTGTGGTTGAAAGTGGGAGCTTTTCCACAGAAATCAGCAGCTATGTCTTCCTGACTCCTTGTAGTCAGAAAGACAAAACCTTCCTGTAATCTTATTGCATCTCAATTTTCTCTGTGCAGGCTATCTGAAGCCAGGAGCCCATGTTAAGCCAGGTGAAACCTTCACCTACAAATGGAGGGTGCCTGAACATGGAGGTCCAACAGAGAGTGACCCGCCATGCCTGACCTATCTGTACTACTCAGCCACTGATGCCGTCAAGGACACCAACTCCGGCCTCGTGGGGCCTCTGCTGGTGTGTCGGAAGAACACACTGAATCATGATGGGACACAGGTGCCAAATATGAACATCTGCTCGTCCCTAACAGGAGGGTGGTGCACTGGGGGGGGGGTTCCCATATGGGCTATTTGCCCAGTTCCCCATTCAGTTTGCAGAGATTAAACAAAGGTCAGTCCTCAGGGTAAAAGCTGACCTCAGGGGAATGTTAAGAAGATGAAACTGTCATTCCTTAATATCCTGGCTTGTCCCTAGTTTTTCCACCTTTTTCACGCAATGAATGCCTTTTTTCACCCCAAGTAATGGACAATTTATTTATCCTTCTGGCTGATAGAAGAATGACAATCGCTATCTCTACACAGACTTAGTAAGAAGGCAGCTTCAGATTTTTAGGGAAAAAAAAAATTTGTTAAAAAAAGAAATTCATTCTGATTGAACATACTTTTTAAAAGTCTTGGCTTCTTTTTTGGCTACAGAAAGGAATCGATAGAGAATTTTACCTCCTCTTTTCAATCTTTGATGAGAATGACAGCTGGTATCTGAACAAGAATATTGAAGCATTTACTGGAGACCCTTCAAAAGTAGATGAAAATGATGCTAATTTCAAGGAATCCAACAAAATGCACGGTATGAAATGCCTGATATCTGTTAATGATACCTTTTCTTCAATCATAATAGGAAGATGAGTTGGTAGGTTTTATCATCATTCATAGCCAACTGCAGTGCACTGGAGAGTGAGGGGGAAAGCTGTCAATCAGCTTATGGTCAGCTCCTGATGCCCTTGGAGTACATGTTGAAACCCTAGTCATAATAGGAATGAATGCATCCACCTACCAACTATACCTGGAGAAAGAGAATAGAGTGTAGTTTTCAGATACAATACTTAGGTCTATAGAAAGACATAATGCTAGAAACAGGCATCAACTTCAGAAGAAGCCGATGTACACTAGTTTTAAATTTCTCTGATGGCCTTGGCAGTGATTCAGACAATAAAGGTCCACCTGCTCTTCTCTGCCATCTCCCACTTGAGCAGTGACCACCTCCGGGAGAGGAGAGGCAAAGACTAGTGGAATGGCCAATAATATTTAAAACATCATCTCTGTATGTAAGTATCTGATTTCAGTATGGATCTCCTCCAAGGTAACCCTGACATGACAGACTTGAGCAGATCGCATAACCGGTCTTTGTTTTAGTTTTCTGAAGAGCACTGAGACTACATATGGTTACAAAACCCTAGGGCCTTCTGGACCCATCTATTTTATTCTTCCATTATTATGTGGATCTCATACTAAAGTTTTGTTCTGTTACAGCATCTTTCACACACTGATCTCAGCAAACATTTGAGGATTAGGGGATTTAGCCTCATAGCACCCTTGTAAAAGAAATGGATACATTTAAGAAGTAAAAGTGGAAGTCAAAGATCGAAACAACTTAAAAGGGCTCCATCAGAACTGAATTTATAACCAAAAGTCTTTGTGACTCTCTCCATAGCCTTGATGACACAGCTATACATTCTTCCAGCTGAAAGGAGGTACCTAATTTATACACTTAACTGGTGTCTGGAAGATATGCTGAAAAGCTCGGAAGAGGAGTGCTACATTACTGCAAAAGGCTATTACAAGACTTTACAGGCTAAAATCAAAAAGGTAGAAGGTCAGAGGTTATAGGAATAGCACTTATATATTAATTTGGTGTCCTCCAACACTACCTTTGCTTCACAAAATACCCCTTTAATGCTGTGACTTGCTGAGCCATGAATCTCTTGCCAGGAAGGTGTCAGGAGGCTCTGTGTTGAGTTTCTGTGGACTTGTTGCTAACTGGGATCTTTCCTTCTCTTCCAGCTATCAACGGCTACTTGTATGGTAATCTTCCAGGCCTGACCATGTGCAAGAATGACAAGGTGTCCTGGCACCTCATTGGGCTGGGCAGTCACTATGACATGCACGGGGTTCATTTTCAAGGGAACACCATTGACCTCAGAGGGACAACAAGGGATGGGCTAGCCTTGTTTCCTCATTTATCAGGGACAGCACTGATGCAGCCAGATCGTGTGGGTATGTTCATGAATTGATTCTGGTGGTGTGGCACTTGCAGATACCAGTCAGTCAAAATAACAGTTGGTGAGATGCTCTGCTCTGCACAAGGAGCCTGAAAGCATGGAGACTGTGGAGACCTGGCATAGCTGAGAATTCAGTCTGGGTTGCTTTTCTGGGAAGGTGCTATAAATCAAATATCCATGTGCATCAAAGAGTGGAGGCTTCAATGACCTTGGGATGGGAAGAGCAGCAGGCAGAGAGATAGCTAAGAGGATGCTCACAGAATTTCTATAATTCTTAAAACAGGCATTTTTAGAAGAGCAAATTCACTGTTATGTGCACAGTCAGCATCATTTAAGGTATTTTAGGACTTCAACAATAACTTTCCAATAATAGTCAGTCTTTAGGAGTTTCTTCAGAAGCAAACACATTAAAGACACTTTTAATTCTCATGGGTAATCCAGTGATTCATACTTCAAATTAAGAAGGGGTGAATTGTTTGTGGGAGACTTAGCAAATAAGTTTCATAACCAAAACTGCAACATTACTTTGTTTTACATTGGTGCAACTCTGTTTAAATCAAGAGAGTCATCAGAGTTGTGCAAGGCTATGCCAAAGGCCATCCTTGGCCGCAGCACCTGAGAGTTGGTATGTTGGTGTTGCATACATGCCAGGTGAGATCTCTGGTGCAGGTGTCTGTAAGACAAAAGATACTTTTCTTATGCATATCCCAAACATTTCTACCATCTGTCATGAAACTGCATTGCAGGACTCACACAAAACAACTATTCTAAGAGATTATTAATTTTTGCCAGCTAACCTTCCACTGGCAATAATGGAAATTGAATTAATTATCAGATCTCTACAATCACCAATGTATGTGATTTTATTTAACTGCATGTTATTTTATCTTTTTCATCACTTTTGCCCTAGAATCACAAGGAACGGATTGAGATACAGACTGGACAGACCTATGTTTCTAATTTTGGTTCCATCACTGACTCACATGCAGACCAGCTGTGAAAGTGCTTTCCTCCTTCACAGAGTGCTAGCAGGTGGAGCTGTGTAGGATAACACAGTGGTCAGCTTCTGCTTGAGTAAATGGGAAAGAGAGAAGGAGAGTATAAATATTAAAATCTGCCTATGGATATGCCAAAAATGCTCCCACTATCACTGCAGCCTTTGACCATCAGAGCTACAAAAAAACCCGAAAGGCCTATGGTGGCTTGGCCTTTTTTGGAGTTTAGCTCAATTGTTTTTACACCATATAGGTGCATATCCAGAAATGGTTATAAGCAGGCATTATGGTACACTGTGTCTGTGTTTGAACTGCAAAGAGGCCTCCATTAGTCTGATTACACCGAACAACTGCAGGGTCTGAGTGGGAAGTCTCTTGCAGCAAAGGCTGATACAGTGGCTCTGTACTCAAGAACAAGGAAACAGCATCTCTGAAACACACCCCTTGTTCCTCTATGCCTTTATTGAGTTTTGCAATGAATGCTTCCTCCTACGTCTTCTCGTGTTCCTTGTGGGCATGTCTGCAACATGGGCAGCATTGGTGAAGGCTCACTGGCAATCCTATTCCTGCTGCCAGACATCTAATCAATTGCTTTTTAGAGTTTCTTGGCTAAGCTAATCTAACTCCAATTGTTAGAGGTAGTTTAGGGTGATTTTTGAGCAAAGATGGAGCAGGCTAGTGGTTCACATGGAGGAAAATAAGGCCATGTTCTGCCAAGTCCTCCACATGGGTCACCAGCTCGTGGAAGACTGGCTGGAAAACTCTCAGAAAAGGACCTGGGGGTGCTGGTCGACAGTGGCTGAACATGAGCCAGCAGTGAGTCCAGGTGGCCAAGAAGGCCAATGGCACCCTGGCCTGTGTCAGCAATGGTGTGGCAAGCAGGACCAGGGCAGTGATCGTCCCCCCTGTACTTGGCACTGGTGAGGCTGCACCTCAAATCCTGTGTTTGGTTTTGGGCCCCTCACTACAAGAGAGACATTGAGGTGCTGGAGCATGTCCAGATAAGGGTAACAGAGCTGGGGAAGAATCTGGAGAACAAGTTTAATGAGGAGTGTCTGAGGGAGCTGGGGGTGTTTAGTCTGAAAAAAAGAAGGCTCAGGGGGAACCTTATCACTCTCCACAACTACCTGAAAGCAGACTGTAGTGAGGTGGGGGTCAGTCTCTTCTCCCAAGGAACAAGCATTAGAACAAGAGGAAAACAGCCTCAAGTTGTGTCAGGGAAGGCTTAGATTAGATACTAGGAAAAAGTTTCTTCACAGAAGGGGTTGTCAAGCACTGAAACAGTGGAACACTGAAACACTGAAACTTGCTGCCCAGGCAAGTGGTGGAGTCACCATCTCTGAAGGTATTTAAAAGACTATAGATGTGGTGCTTAGGGACTTGGTATAGTGGTAGAATTGACAGTGCAGGGTTAATGGTTGGCTCAATGATCAGGGAGGTCTTTTCCAACCTAAAATATTCTATAATTCTATATAAACATCCCCTTGTTTAACTTTCCATAAAGTATCACAGATTAGGTTTGTCTGAGGACAGATCAGAGATGTACACAGGGCCTGATTTGCCAAACTTCTTTTTATTTTTTTTTTAACTGATTAAATCTCATGTGCTTTTTTTTTTTTTCCAGGCACATTCAAAGTGGTTTGCAGGACTTTTGATCACTTCGTTGGTGGGATGAAACATCTCTACGAGGTCAGCAGCTGCCACAATACCACCCAAGCCCAGCAGCAGTACGGAGCCATGAGGCTTTACTACATTGCTGCGGAGGAGGTTGAGTGGGACTATGCCTCAAATAAGAGCTCAGCACCAAAGATTTACAACATCAGCAGCAATGAGGAAAGGTACTCAAAGCAAAAAACCCTTGTGGGCATGGGACACACTCATAGTGGAGGGGAAACTTTGAAACATCATTTCACAAAGCTAGCCTTGTACTTTTTAGGAGGAACTCTTTGCAGAACAAAATAACAGAAAACATATTTATAAAGTCGTAGCCTCTCAGACTAGACTAGTCCATAGGCACCAGTTTCAAATGTTTTCATCTCAGCGTGTCTTGTAATGCTGTTGAACTTAAGAAGGCTTCCAACTCCCTAAATCCATGTGTGTGTTTCAGCCCTGGCTCAACCTTACAGTGATGCCCCCCAACACTCTCCTCTCCCTTACTTTTCCCAGTCTCCCCATTACAGTGGTCTAGTTTTGACATAGGAAAAACCCAGGTACCTCTCCCAGACATGAGCTCCTGCAGGCAGTGCAGATGCATGAGGGAGGTGTTGAGCCTGCTTCTCTGCAGGGTGGTAACCCCTGGCTCACCTGAAAAGGTCAGAACATAGTAACCCCTGCAAGCAAATGACGTCTACACTGCACTGTGCTAAGGAATAAAAATCCTGTGCAAAAAATACCTGTTCTAGATCATATTGCTTAGACTGGTCCTTGAGGACACTTCCATGAAAGCGAAAAGGAACAAGGAACATATTTCAAAAATAAACCTTAAGGATCTGGGAAACTTCACCCTGTAAAGGGGAAGAGGGTTCTGTAAAAAATATACCTGAAGAATTGCAGGTGGTGAAGCGAGTTTAAAGAAAATATTAACACCAGTACTGTCAAAGGCTGCTGTTGCAACACAGTCCATTACTACAGTAACCTGTATCCCTGGGGCATTTTTTCATTTCATTTAGCATGTTGTGAGCCAACCTTGCAACTCCCCTGCCAGGGGCACCTTGGAGATGAGCTGCCAGGAAACATAGCTGCTCTCAGAAGAGGGTGAATACTCTGCTGCACAGTGGATGGCAAGTGTCCTCTGCCAGCGAGTCAGCCCTCTAGGATACCATGGGAGCAGCAACAAACTGTGGGCGAACGTGTAAACCTGGAGGACACAAAAAAAGCATCCTCTACTAGGTGCAGAAGGGAAAATACATTTCTCACTTTATTGTCATGCTGGGAAAGCATCCAGCCCTGCCAGAATACAGCAGCAAAGGGCAGAGTAAAGCAGCTCCCTCTTATCTCAGATGGTGGCATTTGCTTTCAAAGGTCAAGCTTTGGTTATCATCTTCCAGTGGCTGATTAATAGCCAAGGTAGTGAAAGCAGCCACCGTGATAAAAGGATTCAGGTTTTCAGGGACAGGCAGTATCTTTTATTGGAAAGAAGAATGCACCTGGAGACAGTGGCTGAACCCACTCTTATCTTGAACCTCACCTCTGCTCTCACAGCTCTGGTGAAGGAACTCCCAAAAGTTTGTGGTGAGTGCAATTTATCCTCAGCTTTACCTGTTTGAAGAAGGTGTGCATTTAGTGAGGATTATCACTCTAATTATTTGCTGTTTAAAATCTCTTGCACTACTCAAGGGCTTCACATCAATCATTACATTGCATCAAGATGTATATGCTTTTCAAATCTTTTGTGAATAACGCAATAGTTAATAGCTTTTAGATGTGTAAAGTTTAGTGGTTTTATCGCCTTTTTATTTTGCAGCTATGGGCACATTTTTCTGAGCCAAGCAGAAGATCTGATTGGTTCAAAATACAAGAAGGTGGTTTACAGGGAGTACACAAATGGCAACTTCACACATCGCAAAGTGAGGACAGAAGAGGAGGAACACTTGGAAATCCTGGGCAAGTAGCTCTCACGTCTCTCAGACCAAGCCTGGTCAGTGAGAGGATTGTTTTCCAAAAACTAAGAGTTTTTCCATCTTTTTTAAGATGGAAAACAAGCAGCACAGATTATCAATGATTTTACAGACAATTTATATAATTGCTGAGTTTAAAGATGCTTTCCAAACTAAAGAATTCAGTCTTGAGCATGAATAAGGAGTCTCCTAAGGAGTACATACAGGGAGGAAGCTAAAATGGCAATTCCAGGATTCACCTTAGCTTTAGAGCTTGTAACATAGAGGGGACTCTTGTAGGCAGAATAAGACAATATAAAGGGGCTGGATTTGTGTCTGCATTGGGCAAGACATATTTTACATGTCATAAAATAACCATCAGCTAGTTTTTTATGGGGTGAGAAGTGGGCAACAACTGGTCATAAAGTAGTCATAGAATCATAGAATATCCTGAGTTGGAAGATCATTGAAGTCCAAGTCCTGGCCCTGCACAAGACAGCCCCAAGAGTCACACCCTCTGGGTGAAGAACCTTTTCCTAATATTTAAACCTAAATGTCCCCTGACACAGCTCCATACTGTTTCCTGGAGACAACACTCCCTAGGCATGTATTTGATGTTTCCTTTTTCCTTGAAGTAAAAAAAAAGTTTAAAAAAAGGCAGTTACCAGCTTAAGAAATAAAATATTAAAAAATACAAAAACCATCCACAAGAATTTTCTTTAAAAACAAGCTGTCCAAAAACCTGCCTCAAGAGTGAACGTTACTCTTCATTGACTAAAAAGAAAAGTGATTATTTGTATATATGGAGCTTTCCATGAGCTGAGATAACTAACTAATTTTGATGGCTTTGCTGAAAGAGTAGAAAAGCCCAAGAGTTTTGATAAAGACCTTGGCTCCACTCCTAGACCAACCTCTTGAAAGTTTATTGAAATCAGAAAAGCAGCATTAATCACAAGCATTGTCTGTTTGAATTTAGGGCCATTACTCCATGCTGAGGTTGGTGACTCTGTACTGATTGTATTTAAGAACAAAGCCAGCAGACCTTATTCAATAAGTGCACATGGTGTAGAAGAAGTGGGTTGTGAAGAACAGCCTGAGACACCAATTACCCTCCCTGGTAAGCCTCTTCTTTTTTATTTCTTTTTAATCTCTTTTCTTTGAGCTAGAAAAGTTGTATATAAAAGTATTTAAACATATGAATGATAATCCCTTTTTCAAGCTTGCACACATCCATATGTTGACCCAGGCATAATACACTGAACGTTTACTCAGCTATGATTCTGAGTTGTTATACATGTAGGTTCCTGATCAAGTGAACATATTTGGGCAGAGACTGAACCTTTGTTCCTATCAGGGATAGAAATAGGAATGTAATATTACTGGGAAACTTCCAAAAAACCAGAAGCAGGACCATAATCATGGCAAGAGAAGTGTAAGCCAGTGCTTCATTTGCCTCCAGACTGACACTCTAACAATATTTTAAAAACTTTCAAACTCAGTGGTAGTTCAACATGGCAATATTTACTCTGCCTCTCTATTAGGCTATACAGAATTGGTATTTGCATTCAGAGCAAATACAAAATACAAAACATAGCTGTCATATGAATTAAAAATCTTTGAAGAAGGGTACCAAATATGCCTCAGTTGCTAGTGAGGAAAATAGTAGAAAATAATTCTCACAGCACTGAAAGTTTTTATATAGAAAAATTCCCGTTAAACTTTTTGAACTTCAACTTTTATGTTGGTTTTTACACTGTAGCATTATAGTCAGTCCAAAATGTATATACCTTTGCTTTCCAACACCCATGCAATTTTTTTCATAGTATTTGTGAGCTTCAGTGAATGAAAAGAAATTCTGATGTAATAAACCTCTTTGTAAGCTGAAAATTCTTTCCTGTAAGCAGCTGTACCAGTACAGTATAATCACACAGAAACTCACGGCCAAATGGGAGCCAACATCTGCCTTGCTGGATTTTCATAAACGAATACCTGTAGTTAATACATAGGGAGAAAAAAATACAGCTGATTTATATGATTCCTTTTGTTTGTTATTTGCTCCATGATGATGGTGCCGACAGCTGAGGTATAACGCTGGGAACACTACTGTCGTGTCTCCTGTGTCCACATGGGAGCAGGCTTGAGATGAGTTAGACGCGGGAAGGAGTCTGTGAGAGTAAGCCAAAAGGATTCTTCAGTCAGATCTAAGGACAGACTTCTCCTTAGGCGTTTGGAAGAAACAGTTAACACAGAAAACAAATCCCTCAAAACAAGAATAATTCCCTACCACTATCATCTAGAAATCGTCGCTCTCTGTCTTCCTAGGCCAGGCTGGACTGCTCACCCCAAGCTTGCCAGAGTCCCTATAATTCTCCTAAGTCAGTTATCAGACAGATTTATATCCTCATAAACTGTGCTCCTGAGAGCACTCCCAGCTCCCAAAGAGACTGTGGAGGGCATGGTAAATAGATGCAGACAGCGGATTCACAGCAGCCTTAGCCAAACCAGCTCCCAGCTGCCACAGCTTTGTCCTCTCCCTGGCCATTCTTCCATTTACCCAGCAGCAAAAAGGGAGAAAACATCCATTTTCCTCATGTTTATCAGTCTTTTCAGGGGTTATGCTTTATTTACTCTTTAAAGATGGCTCTTCAATGCCTTCTGAATTGTCTCAAGTTTTAAGTAGAGTCGAAATTTTTTCCATCTGCAGCCTCCAAACATCCTGAAGTGGGGAGTAAAAAGTAAGGAAGTAGTGGGGGACCGTGACCTGCCTCCCTTCTCACATCATACCCTCTAAAAAGAGGTGATGACATGTGGGTTAGATACAAGTGGATGACAAACTTTTCCCTGGTTTATGTCTCCATGACATGAATGGTCTGGAGACTGAGGGCTTTCTTGTTAGTGGTTTTTGTCCTATTAGTCTAGTGC